TGTGTGTGTGTGTGTGTGTGTGACGGGGATCGAACTTGGGACCTTGTGCTTGCGAGGCAGGTGGTGGAACCACTGAGCTAAATCCCCCCCCCAAAATTTTTTTTTCTGGTACTGGGGATCAAACTCAGGCCCTTGCACTTTCAAGGCAGGAAGGAGAACCACTGAGCTAAATCCCCAGTAAATTTTTCTTTCTTTTTTTTGGTACCTGGGACTGAATTCAGGACCTTGCAGCTTGCCAGAAAGGTGACAGAACCAATGAGCTAAATCCTGGCCCTTGCACCAACTTAAAGATGCTGTCAAGTCCTACCTGATGGGCATGAGGGCAGAGGTCAAGAAAAGCAGGTGTGTTGCTAGTGGAGGCACCCAGGCCTCTTATCACCCAGGGAGCACCGCTGAGCACACTCTAACTTCTTTGAGCCTCTTCTCCTAGATGATGAAAGACGCTCAGGTGTGTGGTGGATGCAGACTATCAATTAACTGATTGGCTTCCGGTGAAGACACACAAAACTAAAACAGGATGTATCTTATGTGTAAAGGCATAAAGCTCTAGAAGTAATTTTTTATATTCTAAAACTTAAATTTGTCCTTTGGGAAGGCAGTACAAAAATTATAAGGGCATTAATAACAAATGGCTTTGTAAAAAAAAAACATGAAGCAAGTTTTTAGAAATTTATCTCAGGAATAATATATTTATATTATGTATATCTCAATCACTCATATTTTTGTTGTTTGTTTGTTTTTGGTGCCGGCAATTGAACTCAGGACCTTGCACTTGCCAGACAGGCGCAGTACCACTGAGCTACGTCCCTGGCCCTAAAATGTGTGCCTCTTTTTCTTTTCTTTTTTTGGGTGGGTACTGGGTATTGAACTCGGGTCCTTGCGCTTGCGAGGCAGGCGGTGAAACCACTGAGCTAAATCCCCAGCCCCTTCTTTTTCTTTTCTTTTCCCCCGGAACCAGGGATCAAACACAGAACCTTGTACTTTTGAGGCAGGCATGACCCCACGGAGCTAAATCCCCAGCCCACTCACATTTTTGTTCACAGTTCTTGGCTTATAACTCCCCCGCAAGACAGGGGATAGGGTCCCAATGTGTAGTCCAGGCTGGCCTTGAAACCATAATTTTGTTCTTCAAGCTGAGTCATACAAACTCTAGTCACTCTCTGCCCTTCTGTCTTGGACTTCTCCGTAAGAAAAATTCCCTGACCTACTGCATGAGTTAGTCAGGGTTCCCTAAAGGAGCAGAGTTAATATTTTTTGTATGTACGATTATATAGAGGATTTACTAGGTAAGCTTACAATGGCCTCCTGCGAGATCAGGGGTGGAAGAGTGCAAAATGGAGAGCTGGGGGTCCAGCTGAAGGTCAAAGTCGTGGTGGAGCTCACTGCAGAGTCCCTTGTGAGTCCGTGTGGAACGCCGAAAAGTCTGTGTTGGGAGGCTGAAGAGTCTGCACTGGAAGCCGAAGGAACTGGAGATGAACTTCCAAAGGCAACAGTGTAGATCAGAGCTCCTCCGAAGCAAAGGGAAGACTCCCTTCTTTTCCTTTCCATTCCATCCAGGCTATAAGCCTTGGGGTTGGCACTACCCACATGTGCATCTTGCCCTTCTCCATCCACATATCAACCATCCACAGACACAACCAAAGCTTTACTAATCAGCTAGAAAGTTTTTACTCAAATCAATCATAATTAACAATCACAATCCACCCCTTGTCAACTTGACAACCAGAGACACCTCCTTAAACCATACTTGATCTCAAAATATGATAGCAGTTATAATTACATCTAACACAACACAACTCTCCTGTGGAAACACACTAACTCCCTCCCCAGAATAGAAGGCAAAGTTTTTCTTTGGGTGATGCTTACTCTTCTAACATTGTGTAGTTCTCTCTTTTTTTGGGGGTGGGGGTAACAGGGTTTTGCTACGTAGTTCAGGCTGGCCTTGAACTCACAGCATCCTCCTGCCTCAGCCTCCCAAGTGCTGGGATTACAGGCGTGTGCCACCATGCCCGGCCTGCACTTGTTTTTAATCATATGCACTATAGTTCAGGTTGCAAATGTTCTTCAAAGACCTATGTGTTGACTTACTTACCAGCTGGGCATTTTGAAGAGGCTGTGGAACCTTTAAATAATGGGGCCTGGTGGGAGGTCTTCAGGTCACTGAGGGGTGCGACCTGAAGGGCACAGAGGGACTAGACCCTTCCAGTCTTTTGCTTCCTGGCCATGAGTAAGCAGCTCTGCTTCAACCTAGGCTGTCTTCCAAGATGGGTTGCTTTGCTATAAGCCCAAAAGCAACAGTCTATGGTTAACCCACCACCAGCAAGAGACTGATACCTCTAAAACTCTAAGACAAAATCAATCTTTTCTTTTATTTGCCCCTCACAGTGCTGGGGATTGAACCCAAGACATTGAGAATGCTGGGCAATTATTCTGTCACTGAACTATATATCCTTGGCCCTAACCGCCCCACAGTCCCTCTCTATGGTACTGGAGAATGAACTCAAGGCCTATGCATGGAGCTACATTCCTAGTCCTTTTTGTTTGTTTTTGGTACCGGGGATTGAACTTGGGACCTTGTGCTTGCAGGCAGGTGGAGCTCCACTGAGTTAAATCCCAGGCCCCTCCTAGTCCTTTTTTAATATTTCATTTTGAGACAGGGTCTTACAAAGTCGTCAAAGCTGGGCTTGAACTTACTCGCTGTTTTCTTGCCTCAGCCTCCCAGAGTGCTGGGATTACAGGTGTGTGCCACCAAGTGTAGGAGATCATGGACCCTATGACATTCTATCCCCTAGGATGACGGCTGTGAGAGTCTGCTGCAGGTCACATGCATCTAAGAGCCATCCCTCAGGCATTTTATCCACAAAGCCTGGTGTGTGGACAGGAGCCCAACAGTCCCCTAAACATGGGTGCATGCTCTTTCTCCTAAAAATGACCCTGTCAAAGTACCCTCAGGATAAAAGCACCATTATCTTAAACACACGGCTCTTTGTAAAACCAAACCAAACCAGGATTGCTCTCATTTGGCCATAACCATTATAGCTTCAGGAAGAAACAAGAGAGCAACAGGAAGAATTAGCAAGATGCAGGGAAAGGCAGAGAGCACAGGCCAGTGCTTGTCCCAGGGAAGACTATAGCTCCTCCCCGCTAGAGAAGGGCCTGGCAGGTGAGAGCTCACTGCACTGGGCTGGACTTTCAGGAAAAGGCAACTAGAAGGCAGAAGGTCTAAAAAGGGTAAAGGGAGGAGCCAGAACCTCTCCTGCGCTCCTGGAAGCAGGGCTGAAGTTCAGGGAGTTTTCTTCCTTGACAGAAAAATTAAACTTTAGGTACTGAAGGAGCTTTTACACCATGCCAGTCCACCGCCAAGTGCTACTACTTTGGCAAGCACACCACACCAACCACCAGGCCAATCAGTCTCTACACCAACAGGCAGGGAGAGAAGGGGGAGGAAACGAAACCACAACGCTGTAACTGTCCTAGACGTCCAAATATCCTACTTACTTAGGCAAGTTTTTAGGTTTTGTAACAATTGGGGGAAAAAGTTTTAAAATGACATGAAATTCACATAACCTACATAATTATTTGAAAGTCCATGATTCAGCGTATAATGTATTCATAATGTTACATAACCCTTCTCTGATTTTAAGATTTTTTTATGGCTCTGGAAAAATACTCTGTGTCCATCAACTAACAAATAGAAGACCAAGACAACGTAATGCTGTTGAATAAATTAACCCGCCTCCCTGGAGGCTCTGAGTTTGTCCAGAGGTGGCTGATTCTTCCAGAAGGGACGGAAGAAGAGATGGGCGGCGAAAGGAGCGACCTCGGGAGGAAGGCAAGGCATGAAGCCACTGCCTAGGCAAGCCGAGAAAGCACACACTTGTTCTGTTTTCTACAACTCAGCCTCTGGATTCACTAGGATAACCGTCTTTAAGAGAATCTGTTTATTGTGCAAAACGCGGGACATGGGCAGGCGAGGAAGAAAATGCACCGCCTCAGTCACCTCCCTGACAGGTAAGTGGGGCCGGCACTTAGGCACACCCCTTCCTGCCCCTCTTTCTGGGTGCACAGACGCAAATACCTGGACACGCCAGAACATGCTGTGGACCAGCACACATGCGGCTGGGGCCCCTTTCTTCACCTTGCAGATTACGCTGACTGCAGTGCCCACCACAAGGCATGCATCACAGACGCAGGACACTCCACAGCCCGGGTGCATCGTGTCTGTCCCCCTGGCCCACTCGCTATTCTCCATTTTGTTTGTAAAGATGCTAGCTATCATTAGCACCTTTAGTGTCTGTGGCAGGACTAAACACCCACAAATGTCTTCACTCAAAGGCAGGCAAAGTACACGGGCCAAGGATTTAGCTCAGTGGCACTTGAAAGTGCAAGGTCCTGAGTTTGATCCCCAGTAACAAAAACAACAACCAAAAAAAAAAAAAAAAAAAAAAA